GCAACTTGTAGATTGAATATCGTATATGCCGGTAGGCTATGGAAGAAGGTTAATCAATTGAATGCAGTGGTTAAGAAGTTACTCTAAAGGGAGGGTTGAAATGTAAGTAAAATAAAACAAACACAAAACGGAGATTTAAGAGACTTTAAACAGTATTTGTGGAGCTTAAAGCTTGATTCATATTATGCACTAGGAAAGTGGAAAATCCTCATTCTGAACGTTAAGTATGTTTTTAATATATACTAAATAATGTAGAAAACTTTTCTTGATGCTTACTAGAATAATCTCTGATCTGATCATGACTTCGAGTCGATGTACTTTAGACAGATAAGGCTGGTCCACGTAGACAATAAATATACATATGTATATCATTTCTTGCGAAAGTATATTATATTTCTAGATAGTGTATTTCTTCAACTACTACAGATTTGGCAATATTTTGTAGTAACGATTACTAACTTAGCCCAAAACTAGGTACGAGTAACTCAAAAAGAGACAAAGAAACCTTAATTGCAACTGAGTTGTATAAGTTTTAAGAACTTCTTAGTTCCCAGCACGGCATTGTCTTGCCATCCGTTGAGGACTATTTTTATGAGGTTTCAGTTCTTAAAATTAATGTTTTTTGTAAAATAAGGGTAAAAATAAAAATAAAGAACATATATTTTTTCCCTTCTAGCAGCAATATATATTTGAAATAAATCATTATTTTTAAAATGGGTTTAACGTGTACAACGCAAAAGATCATAAAAAATAGAGTTATATTCTAAAATGTCATTTATAAACACTATGTGTACAGCTATAGTCTTAAAATTGATACTTTATTTCTAAAATGTCATCAAAATGTTTTATATGTACAAAAAAATAAAATATTACAATTTTAATACTCATAAAAACAGCCAATATTCACACTTTAAGTATATCTAAAGAAAAATATTTCTTGCATTTTCTGCATGGTTGAATAACTTTAATATTAATTTTCGTAAGCAAGACCAAAGTGTTCGTACTTTCTATCTTATTACACAACAATAAACAAGCACACATTTCAATTACCAGTGATGAAACATACCAAAAATGTCATGTAACCATTTATATGCCCATCAGTTGTTGACAGCTGACTGCAAACAATCGTAATATAACAATATTGCTTGCTGTATGGTGTAATATTACCCAAAGGATATTTAACATATCATCAGGCGCAAAGAAAAATGGAATATTCCAGCGCTAGCTAAATTCATAGACACGGAGCAAAACGCGCTGAGGCGAAAATGAACATTAAGACACATTGAACCGAGTGCGCAGAATGTCAATGTTGGCGTAGGCAAGGGCAAGGCTTTTAATATATGTATGTATTGCAGTACAGTTAGGAATATAAGGACGGTGGCTGATAAACAGCTGGCAGACGTCATGTAGACAAACGAAGAAACGAAGAACCAGCTTACTTGATGGAAGAGAAAGTGGTGGCACACCACTGTTGGTGTAATTTGTCGTGGCAAAGGCAGACAAACAATCATGCACATGACTTAATCGCAAATCAACTTGGGACGCATCAATACGCGCCACAGAAATTAGACGCAATACGATATGGCGGAGCAACGCAGCTCTAGGCGAGCAGTTGAGCGGAGAGAGAGAGATTGGCAGCTGATTGAGCAAACGGCTGATGTATCAAGGCACAGCGTGGCCTTGGTGGCGGCGTGGCAGATATCAAATCAAATGCAGTCAAGCCGCGCTTGTATGTGTGTATTTTAAAGTCGTAAACATACAATAACATTTGAAGACACTCGCCGACTTGCCGCGTCAGTCAACAGATGCATATGCACCACATTATACAGGTTGTTTAAAAAGTTGGTTAGTCTAACCTAAAAATAGCATCACTAGCTCCAAATTTTCTTTTCTCAAGTTCGTATATCTGTCATGCAAAGTTACAAGTCATTCTGTCAATTAATTCTCCGTCAGTGATTATTTGAAAGGTTTAGAAGCAAAGGAAATTTATGAACAATTGTTGGAAATATATACGGAGTCCTCACCTCAAAACGCACCGAATTTTGATCTGGTGAATTTAAACGTGGTCGTACTAGACTTAAAGACGATCTACACGAAGGACGAGCAAAAACCGCAACCACAAAAATCTGTTTGGAAAGTTAGTGCCGCATATGTTAACAATTCAACAAAAACTGGATCGAAAACAAATTTCTCAGCATAATTTGGAACGTTTAGACTTGGATCTATCACCATGATCTTAAATTGAAAAAAGAACGTTTACAATGGAGTGAAGCCGGTTGTTCGGCTCTAAAGCAGGTGAATGCACAACGATCAACAAAGAAGGTTATGGTATCAGGTTTTTGCTATGCAAAAGGAATTTTTTTGATTGAATGTCTGCAGATATATAAAACAATCAACTGTAATTATTATGGCAGCCTTTTGGATCAGCTGGACCACAAAAAAATCATTTTTCATCAAGACAATGCACCTGCTGGTCTTTTAACAATTTCAAAATTCAACGAATTAAAGTACGAATTGCTTAAGCATCCACCGTATTCACCAGAAACTTGAAACAGTTCCTCCGTTGAAAGCGTTTTTCGTTGTATGAAGAAGCTATTACAGCTGTAGATGGGTATTTTCCAGAGCTTCCGGAAAGTCATTATAGGGATGGCATAAAATTATTGAAGGGTAATTGGAATAAGTTTATTGCAGTTAATGAAGAATATATTGAACAAAAAAATTTATTTCGTACCAAAAACAGTATTTTTTCATTTCGAGCGCTGAAACCTTTCAATTTATTTCGTACCAAAAACACTATTTTTTTCATTCATCAGCACTGAAACATTTCAACCAACCTACAACTATATTGTATATTAAAATCGTCAGCATATGTGTGTGTGTGCTGCATTTATGTTAGTCGGCACTCGTACGATTTTTTTGAATTTTCATATGAAAATTACACCCCAGAGAAATTATTGGATTATTTGCTTGATTTGATTGCTTGATTTGTCGTTTGCAGCTACATACATAAACTAGTTCTGTTTTTTGGATTTATATAAATATATATTTTATAATATATATATAGAAAATGTATTACTACTTCAATTATTCACTTTCTGCTCCATCCGCATGTGGCTCTGATATGTTCATTGAACAATTGTGAGTGTTTAAATGATGACAGTAACACACTAAAGCTCTGAAGACAATAAAGTGATGGACACTTATGCTCAGCACTGACAAACGACAAATTTACAGATGTCTGTTAAGTCGGTTTATGGATCAAACACAATTACAATGTGGCTCAATTTTTAAGTGCCCTTTTCTCTTTGGCGGAGCCCTATGTTAAAATATATATATTAATTATTCTTAGTTTATGCAAACACACCACATTTTTGGAGTTGATAAAAATATTTACATTTATGTATAAAATGTATGTGTAACACACACAAAGAGGAGTTGGTGTTTGATTTGCTCCGTTCATGTTATTTCTGGTAATTATTAAACCGATTTGTTGTGCAAAATTTCAGAGAAAGCGAGTTCTCTTGAGTAGTCCCATATCTTAAAAAATGTCGCCAGAAAACTGTTGCTCAAGAAATCAATGCATCTGAAATTGATTTTATAAAATGCCCAACATACTTTAAAAGTTAATCTCCCGAAATAAAAATAACCATTTATTGACTGGAGTATCCGGACCCTTTATAAGACATACCTATACTTTGCAAACAAAAAACGTTATATAGGCAGAGTATAAATTGACAAATGGCTGCTAGATACGAGTAAATGCATTCTGACAGATGTAAAATCGCAACTGTCTATTAGATTATATAAGCATTTATATATAGTAAATGATATATAAGAGTGGAAAGAATTATTATATATACCATAGAAATGAGAATAAAGTTGAGTAATCTGGTTTTCTTATTCCTCTTGATACTTGTTTATGTATTCATAGCCTAAGCTACTGAGAAGTTGAATAGAAAAATTTCATTAAGAAATTCATATAAAAAATGTAAAATAGTGGCAAAGATCTTCATAAAGTGCTCATAATTTAATTAAATTGATTAAACCGTTACCTGTTATGTGACCATTTACGAAAATTATACACGAGCAGGAAGTACGGTTAACCCGAAAAGAGGTCAATTGAGAGCTGATGATACGGAATCCTTAACTATATAATGATCTAGTACTACTAATATTAGTCGAATGAAGCGCTGAAAGCCAAAACGTTTTTAAGCTAGGTATGGATTTATAAATTGGTTTATTCGATTAACAACGTTCTCGATAACGGGTCGTGGAGACTTATGTTAAATGTTGTAAGAAAATTTAGCTTATTTAGGTTTTAAATATAGTAGTAATGCAAACTCATTTTAACTTCTTTCGAAATCACAAACCAAATTTTAGAAAAGATAAACAAATTATTTCTCTTTTATACATTTTCATATGCGTAAAAGTATATCCAAAAATTGTCTTCAAAATCTCATCTATAGAGATTCTAAAACTATTGTCCTTGTGCGTTGTTTTCAGTGTATTTCATTCATTTGATGCGTATGCTTTTGTGCCTGAAAAAGTGTTCTTCGAGGAGTTCTTCGTCATTGCTTTAATATGAAGATCGAAATTCATCGTATTTTGGTGGAAGTGTGTGGTGAACAAAAGCCATAATTGTGCAAAAGTATGTAGGGTAAGTCAAACAGTCATTTAATTTTAAAAGCAGTCAGATGCATACATTCAAAGGTAAGTAAATTGCCATATGAATTGAAGCCAAGCCGTATATCCCAGACCTTGACCTTCTGACTACCATTTGTTCCGGTCGATGAAGAACGCCCTCACTGAGATGCGATTGACATCAGAACAGGGTATAGCTTGAGTCATTCTTGACCGCCAAGCTGACGCAGCTCCTTTAAGATGGGATCCACAAATTGCCAGAAATAAAAGCTTTGAATAATGCTATAGTACATAGTCATAAATATGGAGTATATACTTTTTATTTATCTTGTTTAAATTTATTTTATTTGGTGACTTACCTTGAATCAATACGATTGAGATGATCCAACCGATTTAAATGCAGTTCACGTAAATGAAACAAGTTCATGAAAGCAACCGGGGGTAGCTGTGTAAACCGATTACCGCTCAGCGACAAATAGGTAAGATTCGATAACTTTGAGAGCTGTTGTGTAGGCACCATCTATAAAAGGGAATAAAGAAGAAAAATAATAATAAATATAAGTAGTTGTATTTTAATTTTAGCTTGATTTTACTGGCAATCGCTGCTCTGCCTTTATTTCTTAGAAATATTTTCATTACCACTGAAATTTTAGTGCAAGAGAGTCACATTCTCGCTTAAAATGAGCGAGTAAAAAAAAACATTTCTTCGTAATATTTGAAAATTTATATTTACAACATTTTATCATCGCATATTTCGTTATGCAAGTCTTATAACATATTTGGTGCCGTGAGCGTGCATCATAACTTTTTTTGTGCCAATCGTGATCCCTTTGAGGAATAATGAATTGGCAGAACCACTATAGGAGTCGAATGATTGATTATCACCTCGATTTCCAATAATTATTTTGCACTGCTGAACTCATGCATTCTTCAATTCGCAGTCTTCACACAAGAACTGATTGTGGTCTCGGTTTGGGGGCTGCATATTAAGCGTCAGGGTGAAGCAAAATTCGGAAAGATACACTAATGAGAGTGTAGACTCACGTGTACAAATATATATACGTATATAGAGCCATATACATATCGGTGTATATTTACATCACTGCAAATATATATAAGCAGTACAGCATTCAGCCAGCCAATCATTCTGCATATACGAGTATATACGAGCCACACATTCACACATACAGCTGAAATACTTAGTCTGAACGGCTCCTCGTGCACAGGTAAGCAATATCCCATTATTTGATTGATTGAAATGGAAATTCATGTTTGATTAGTGTGCATTGGAATGCAATAAGTAGAATCTTTGGCAAAATGTTGATGAGTATGATAATGAATGAAATATAGTGAGCGCATTTGCTATGCAAATATACTTATGATTATGCAAATAGAACTTAAAAAGCCAAGAGGTGACTGAGGAAATGCAAAAAGAGAAAATATAATAATAATACAAAAATTTAAATAACAAGATATTGGAGCAGTTGCTGATATGAAGACAGAGTTGCAAATAATGTACCAAAAAATATAAAAAAAAATTGAATTGTATTAAAAATTAAATCCCAAATAAGGGATTAAAAAATTAAGAAAAAAAGCATTGGATTGAAATAAAAAATTTTCCCAAATACGGGATAAAAAGATAACGGATTAAAAAAAAAAGTTTATAGAATTAACATTTTTTCGCGTCTGTGTACTTCGTGTTCTACTATTTTAAACTAGAGCTCGCACAGAGTCATCATTTTCAATATTCGATATAGGTATATATATTTTCGACATATTTTTTATTTTGTTAAAATTTTCACTCAATATTCTTTGAAATTAATCGTATTGGAAATTAGTAAAGTACTACGTTGTTTGAATTTATTCCTCGGTATATCCTTTTTAATAAAAAATAAATAAAATTAAAGCTTTTAAATTATAATGTTATAAAAAAAGATACTTAAAAAATATTTTGACACTTCAGTTTAATATACTTGTATTTCAAATTTATATCTATCGAATTATTCGATAAAGTATTTAAAAACACTTCCATATTTTTAATTTATAAAGCAAATTGATAATTTATAAAACTTCGAATATATATATTTAACTAGCAACTACTCGCATCCCACATCTCAACCGTGATAACGGTTCTTAATGCAATCTTCGAAAATCACTTCAACCAATTCAATTCATTTCACAAGCAAGCATAGGTATGCCACTTTGCTTGTTATTAAGTGCTGCCCATTTGAGCTGACAGGCTTAGCAATGGCACAGCACTCATAGTTGTATTAATAATAGCACGTGTAGCGCCATCGCGATAAAAGCAGTATTGTTAATGTTGTTGCTGTTGTCAGCGCTTTCAGTGGCTTGCGGTTGCATTTGAATGTGCATTTAGAGGTTATGCAATAAATATAATGTGCCCTCGACACGATATTGCTGACATTGCAACGCACTCAAGGTAGTTGTTAAGTGAAAATCGATGGTGGCCGGCAGAGATGCCAAAACTCATTTATTAATAAGGAAAATGAAGCAAATAAGATGTGGCTTGGGGTTTGCATATGGACAATAATTCTGTGGTGTTGTGAGATGAGTGTATATCTTAGAAGAAGGGAGTACAAAATCTGTGTTTGAATCTTTTTAAAAAAATTTTATGTGTAATTTGTACATATTATATTATGGTTGTTCAAAATTTTTTGTAATTGCTAATAATTGTATGAGATTTTAATTTAATTTCAGTTAAATAAGTCAATAAACTTTAAGCATGAATTTCTATAGAAACCAAAAATCTCACTCACATTTAACCGTCATTCGGCGTCTGCACTATTTTATTATTAAGGACATATGCATAATGTAAAAAAATAGGGAATGAAAAAAGAAAGTAAACCTGGTAAGTTCTTTAAGGTTATTGAACAGAAGTGGAGCAAAAAGTACGTTCAGAAATACGGGATGTAACAAAATAGAAATGAAAAAAATAAATGAAAAACGTGGGTAATGAAAAAATAAACAAAAAAAATAAATAGTTAAATGAAAAGACAAAGGTGAACATCAAAAGACACGTTGCAAGAAAGGAGAAGAGAACTAAAATAAAAGTGTTATTGAAATTAATTACAAACAAACGTAAAATTTGAATGAAAAACAGTAAAAATGTTTAAAAGTAAATAAAGTATATTTTTTTGAAATAAAGTACTTGTATAACATAAAAAAACTATTAAGGAAATTTTGAATAAAATGCAGTTATGCATGAATAAACAAACGAAACCAAGAAAACCTACATACTGTACCACAGCATAACACTACATATCGGAACTAGATTAAATCTGCACATGCCTCAAATAAAAAAATTAGCAAAAGTACTAAGTATTGCAACGAATAAGAGACAAGAGGTTGAAAACGATAAAAAAAGTTGATCATTCGTGTAATGTATAGAACATAGAGACGAAGTGGAATGTAATAAATAAAGAAGAGGAGCTAAATAATATCCCTACGAACGTGTACTCGTATTTTCCGCAAAGACAAGGGATCTAGATGTTTCGACCTCATCTTCCTACAAATAGTTTGAGTTATCCAAAATCTTTAACTTCTCCTCGTGAGTACCAATAGAACAGTGACTACTTATAATTCCTATCAATGCGGTGAGATGAACATTGCTAAGAATAAGTAATTCAATGGACCTCTTAGGTTCGTTATGACCAGGCACCTGAACCTGTCGGATTAAGTGATAGGGGCGAATAAATCAGAATTTTGAAGCAGTGCATTTACTGGTACCTTAATTGCAATCATTCCTGCTTGAAAAATACTACAATGGTCTGGTGGCCTGAAGCAAAAAGTTAAAGGAGAGCTCTCGACAAACTTCCTTGTGGGTTTGTATTCGTATACAGAGACGAAACCACACGTAAGAAATTATTCTTTTTATACTCTTGCAACATGCTGCTACAAGGTATAATAGTTTGGTTAACCTAACGGTTGTTTGTATCACCTCAATCTAATCGGGATAGATATGGATATCGATAATTCCCTTGGTCCCCAGATACCTAATAGAAAGGTTTTCGAGCTCCGGTTGGAAATTGGCCTAACGTTCATATAAATAATCAGGATTTTCAAACAACCGAGTATCTTACTTCTTATATATTGGTGATGGTCCGCGAGGTACCCTAATGGAACTTAGAGAGGCCCACGAAATATCCATTCTCCCATGTACTACATATAATGATTTCCGTTATTCTAACAAACCTTATGCCGAATATGTCGGTCAGTGTATGAATTATATATTTATAAAATGGCTTGAAAATATCTTCTCGAGTATAGATGAGTGATGTCAAAAGTTTGTGCAAGAAGCCTAAATCTTTTTTGTCCCCAATATACTCTATTTAGTAATTTCTGTCTTTAAAACGTTTAGCTTAAGTAACAAGCATTCTTAAAAATGATTTGATTTAGCGCTGAATATGTAAGGAGTTGGTTTGATCCAAACTTCTTATCCTTAAAGTAATGAATTTCGTTTACTTACCGTTAAATTATTATCAGCCAAATTGAGATGCTTTAACGCAGTCAGACCCTCAAAGGCGCTGAAATCCAACTCGGATATCACATTACCTCGCATTGTGAGCATCATCAACTCACGCAGTCCTTCGAAACTATCATTGCGTACATATTCCACTAGATTATCGGATAAATCTAGCGATTTGAGCGCATGCAAATGCTGCAAATTATTCGATGGCACATCCAACAGTTGATTATTCTTGAATTTCAAAATCTCGAGCGAGAACATATTGTGAAAGCAATTGTCTTCTAAACTCACAATATTGTTATTAGTCAGATCGAGTTTAATAAGCGAAGTGAGATCACTCATGGCGCTGGCATCCGCCACTTCTATGCGATTAAAACTTAAGTCGAGCACCAGCAAATTGCTTAGTCCCCTGAAGGCGTCTTTTTGTAAAGCGCTCACCGAATTGCGACTCAAATTCAATGTGCGCATATCCTTTTGAAATTCAAAATTTTTCGAACCCAGCGTATCGATGACGTTCTGTGACAAATCGAGCACTTCGAGCTTCATATAAAATGGCAGCGTAAATTCGAGATTTCGTATTTTGTTGCGCGTTAAATTGATATATTTCGTTTCAGGATTCAACTGTATGGGTACATCTTCGAGCGCTGCGTCCACGCAATAGGCTCGACTGTTCGCTTCACCGCTGAGGCACTGACATTTCGAGGGGCAGAAGGCTTGCGCTTGTGCGAGTAAACTCAGCACTGTGAGTGCGCTGAGCAGCAGCACAATTGTTGGTGTGAGCGAATACAACTTCTGTCGCGCCCAACTAGTTGTTAGTGTTATTGCTCTGTTTTGCGGTGGTTGTCTTTTATTTCGTATCTGTTTCGTTTTCGTATTTGTTGTAGGATTTGTGTTCTTTATGACTTTCGTTTTCATCCATCTCACTGGACTTGTGCAAACTGTTGGTGTGGCCATTTTATTTGTTTCTTTGCTTTGAAAGCGTTCGCTTGCCGTGTACAGTGGGCTCAGTTGTGATTTAATATTTTTTTCTATTTTCGGTGGTGCTCAGTTTAAGCGCATGCTAGGTGCTGTAAAAATATAGAGAATACAGAGATTTGAACTTGTCATAATATATAGATAATTTATAAATTTTGGGTAAAAACCAATAAAATATTTTTTTATTTGCATAAAATAATTTTAATAAAAAGTCTCTAAGTTTTGGCAGGCATATATCGTTTTATTTGAAAATATCTAATAATTTTTTTAATTTCATGGGACAGAGTCTAAATAATTAACAGAAAAAATGTATGTATTTAGTTCCCTTTAAATTCCATTTATTCTGAGTCATAAAAATTGTCTGAACAGAGTAAAGCCTGAGGATGTATTTCGTGGCCGTTGCTATAGAAAATATCAGTAAATAACACCTTTTTATGTGTTCCTTATATACTTACATTCTATCTTTAACAAAACTTACTGTTATATATTTGTACACTTATTTCACAACGGCTGTTGTATGAAACGCCACATTCATACACGAAATATCAGTATCATAACTGAACTTGTATGGAAATAGCCTGCGTGTTGAACTGATAACTGACTTCAAAGACTTCATGTTTACCTGAGTCCATATCGGAATAACATAAGCCAACCACATTAACCTGCCACAACGCATAAGTTACCCGATATTCCTGTAAGATTTAGGAAATTTAAGCTTATGCACTTAGCAACAGTTTTCCTCTAGCTATTTTTGACTTGTCAACTCAAAATAAAGTGATGTACAACTTTTGACTTGCACATTTTTCCCCAAACAATTTAACTCAATCGCTAGCAACAAAACTCGCTCACTTTAGCCACAATTGATTTTCGCTTTTTCGCTGCGGCAAATAAAAGTAAAATTTTGTTCGCAGGTAACAAAAATATAAAAAACGACATTTTGTTGGAGCTTTTTCAAGAGTTACAAAAAATTAAAAAAAATGTGTACATCACCAACAAAACACACGGTAAATTATTTAGCATGTATGCATACCATATTTTGGGCTTGTACTAAAGTTTTGCTCACATACACATGAACAACATACAACATGAATTGCGTATGACGGGGCGTATGAGTAATAAAAAATGGCAAACAATAAAAATGTACTGAAAATGATCGGCAACCAAAAGTTTTTCTTGCCCTAAGGGTAAGAGGGGGTAGAGTAGTGGCAGACAACAAAAGACAAAGGTTTGAAATTTAAAGAAGGGATGAAAGCAAGGCTTATTTTGGTACTTGCACTTTGAGCAGTCAAAGTGATTAAAACCTCGAAGTTTTCACAAAAAGTTAAATTTTAACACACCAAAAGGGGCCTAGAGGGTTACTAAGTGCCTCTTCATAGGAAAGAGGTGCACGCTTTGATGTTTCTGTAATAATTGTTTAACCGTCTGATTGTGATATTTCTCTTAAGTGGCGTAAAATTTTTAATTAACACCTTTTCTGCGGCTTCTGAGAAGGTATATTTATTCAGCATATCATTTCTTTTTGATTGTGCATAAATTTTTTTTTATTTTGAGCTTTTATATAGTGCTAACTTTGCGAGTTGGGCAAAAACTTTCACTAAAACTTTTTATTGCTATGCTTTGGCATTATCTTGTTTTATTCTTTCGGAGTATTCGCCTCCTTCTCATAAACTTTATTTACTTTTACACATATCGAAAATGATCACAAGTGAATCTGTGATTACCGCTGAGTTTAGTAAAAGCTGCTGTGGGAATTTTCAAGGCAAAGATATAAAGTATAAGATAGAGTAAATATGTGTGTCAATATCGTATACTTTACATATGTGAGGTTAAGTAAAACAGTCAGACGACAAATGATAGTAGAAACTCAGTTTGCTGGCATTTTCTTGAAATTATTTATTAATTAAAAGCAAGAAACTATAAAAAAAAATTTTATTTTTTGGTTTGAAGTATGTAATTTTTTTTCCCAAAAAAGAGTTTTTACTTTATTTTTGAAAAAATAATTTCTTTAAAATTAAATCAAAAAAGATTATACTAAAATATTGTTTTAAAATATTCAAATACTAACTATTATTATATATTATATTTTTTGTTGTGTTTCTTAAAAATATTGTTTTCCCTTTCTTACAGAATATGTCACTTCCCTTTAGTTCAAAATATAAAGAAAATATTATATATTTTTATTCTTTGAAATTCTGACGTGATTTATAATTAAATGTAAAAGAAAGTATCTAGTAAATATCTTTTAGTTTCAGTTAAAGAAGATATATATTTTTAAATGAATTTAATTGACTTATATGCTAAATTTCAACATCATTGTGTAAAATTTTAACACAGAGATTGATGGTATTGAACTTTTTGTTAATTAAATAAAATATTTATACACCTTGAAGTGTATGTTGTTAAACATGTTATGTATAAATTATGTTTTTTTTATTATAAAAAAATGAGTTATATTTATGTAATTTATTTTGAATAAATTTTTCTGGAAGTTCATAATGAGCCTTCATTGAGGAAATTGAACGATAAAATGTCGATTACTGCAACAATAATCGTGGTCTTTTTGTATTTAGTTGTCTTCGTAAGTTTATGAATACTTTTAGAGGAGAAATCAATATTTCCATTCGAACGAATTTTCGCAGTTAAGTTCTGTATTAGTAGAGTTGCATGCTTTTAGCCGTTTTAAAGCCACTTAATAAACACACGAACGGTGTAACCTGAACATTCATGAGATGTGAGGCAATTTGCACAAATAGCAACATTTTCACTCACACAGCCAAACACGAAAACAAAAAGTGGTAAGCTGACAGGTGCTAAGTTTAGTAAGGGTAGAGAATGGAAAGCAAAAGAAACAAGTATGGAAGGGCTAACTTCGGATGCAACCAAATATTTAATACTTTTGCAACCTGCAAGGATCAAATCCGGAGAAATCCCTTCAAATAATTAATTTTATAAATATATAACTCATATACTGACCGACATATTCAGCACAGGGTTTGTTAGAATAACGAAAATCATTATATGTGGTATAACATACGAGGGTTTAGGTAATTCGTTAACACTAAACCGTAGTATGCCCAATTTTATTCGTTCACTTAATTTCATGAAGGTATTAGATCATATTGACCGATATATACGGTATAAGGCAAATCAAAAGTTTGAAAATCTTATATTTGGTATACGAAAGATAGGGATGTTATTGGACCGCTTTTATCCATTTTTGCTATTACCACAAAAAAACATGTCTACTGTGTTCCATTAAGGTAGCTCATATACCATCACCAATATATGCGGGATAAAGTCCACCTTAACTAAAACCTTAGTTAAAAATCCTGATATTAGTTATACTACCGCTAGGACAAGTTTTCACTCGATTTTATCCATTTTATGCACTAAGTTGCATTGTTCTAAGAAAAACACGTTTTTTAATTTCATTAAGATAGTTCACATATTGACCGATATTTGCGGTATAAAGTCAGCCAGTCGGTTCGACAATTTTTCTATTAGGTATATGGTACCCGTTTTTGGCACACGAGTACACTAATATCAGATACAGATTCTCTTTCTATTTCTACAAGTATAATATATCTCACATACTGACCGGTATTTTCGATAATAACTTCGCAATAAGGTCCATATATTCGGTATCTGGGGGACTGAACAGTTTTGGTTCGATTTGAATAATGTTTGGTCATAATATCGCACACTTTCAGAATCAGATCGATTTAAAAATTTTGTTATATTTTATGAGAAGTGGTTGTAGTCCGATGTCCTCCATTTTCACACTTCATAGTAAGAATGTCAGAGTAATGAAATTTACCGAATTTAGTAGAGACCGGTCTAGCAGTTCCCGTGATAAGGGGTTTCTCCTAAATGTGGACGGTGCCAAGCCCATAGTTTTATTGATTCCGGATCCTATAAAGCCGTCCCTTGTAAAATTTAATGTCTCTGGCGTATTAATTTCTCGCGCTTTAAGTAGTTTTAAACAGTACCGTTATGTGAGGATTGGGCGGGGTTATCATTCGGTTTTATCCATTTAAATGTGTTTAGTGGTTTAGGAGATATGTAAATTAAACCTCATAGAGAACCCCTGGCCCTTTTTTAGACCACAGGTGCCCCTTGCTACTGCGATCCCCATTGCTAAATTACAGTTATATATCTCAATTAAGGGCTTAGTTATGGCGCTTTATAGGTTTTCGTTTAATGGCGTTTTGTGGACGTGGAAGTGGTCCGATTACGCTCATATGCAAATTTGTCCTTACTTTTTTTGCAGGAAACAAAACGTGTACAAAGTTTCAGATATCTCAATTTTTACTCAAGTTAAAGCTTGCTCGAAAGACGGACGCACAGACAGACATCGGACGGATTTCAACTCGCCTCGCCATCCTGATCATTAATATATACCATATATAACCCCTTATCTATCTCGATTAGTTATAGGTGATACAAGCAACCAATAAGTGAACAAAACTATTATACTCGGTAGCAAAATGTTGCAAGAGTATAATAATAGTAAGCAAAGGGACGGAAAAAGATAAAGTAAAACATGAAAAAAGAGACCAAATGCAATAAGAAAGCAGATGTGTGGTGAAAATGCAATGCCAAGCGCAAGGTCCTTGAAGTGCGCAGAAAACACTGTGAACAAAAACAACAAAGGCATAGTGACGAAAAACAATTACAAACACACACTCAGACATCACGATTGGCAACTGAATCGAAGTGTTAGCGCAGATGCATGCACTTTTGCATTTCCTAACCACCGCTTCCGCTGCTTTTGTTTTGCGCCTTTATATTTGCCACGTGCCACACGTGCCGCGACACTTTCAATTTTCCACCAAATGTCGTTCTGTGGCGTTTGCATATCTTTCGCTGTTTTTTATTAAAAGTGCAAGCAGCTTAAATATGTAAGAAGCCCTTAAACCCCGGAGCAAACCAAAAAAGAAAGAACACGAAAATCAACAACACCTTGATGCAAGCGGTATAAAATTGCTTCGGAACAATGCCAAAAGAAAATTGCACAGCGCACTTTGATGCAAACACGGAAAATGGTGGCAAAAAGTTTTGAAGTGGCAAAAACTATCGCAGTGCCTGTTGA